GGACTCCCTTCCGGGACCCCGTGTCCCGCTTCTCCCCTGGGGAGGTCCTGACTCCTGCAGCCTCCAGCCAGTCCCGGGTCTCCTCTCCTGGCTCGAGGCTGGCGCTGCAGGCCGATGGCCCTGGCGGGCTGAGCTCACCCCCGCCGTGCTGGGTGGCCCGCGCAGAGCTCCGACATCCTTCAGTTTGGGTTCGACCTTTCCCTGTTGGAGAGTTGGTGCAGCTGCAGGTTTGGGGGCTTCTCTGGGTGACAAAGGGAACCCGGGGACGTCCAACTGTGCAGGCCCGTCTTCCTGTCCCCTGCCAGCTCTTGGCCGCCACAGAGGAGCCGCAGCCCCTGCTGCCTTTCACAGCCCACCCACGCCCAGGTGCCAGTCCCTGAGGCCACCTTTCTTGTGCGGTGACCTGCTTGGGCCTCTGTATTTCTGAGCTGCTCTCAGGTCCTCCAGACTCAGCCTCGCCTGCCTCCACCCAGGGCTCCCTGTGAGACTCACCGGACCACGCACGGTGGCTGCTCTGGGCTGGGGGACAGTCAGTACTCAGGAAATGGAGGACCTGGTGGCCAGGAGCCTGGCGGCGGGGCTGAGTGAGTGGGGAGACTGGGCTGTGACCGTGGGTGGCGTCAGTGGGAACAGCAGCCTCAGGAAGTAGCCGAGCGACCACGAGAGCCCCGGGGGGCCCCCTCTGGGTGTTGAGTCCAGACAGAACCAAGGAGCTGGAAGGCTCTGGATGCAATGGCCCCTTTGCCTCCTCCCTGGGCCCCAGCAGAGCTCTCAGGAGGGCAAGCCCTTGACCGTCTGGGGCGGGGATGCCGTCCGCTTCCTCCCAACTCCCTCTCGCCGAGTGCGTGATGTGGCCTGGAGAAGCCCTCCACCGTCCAGGGGCCAGGAAGACCTCTGGGAGGAAGTTTCCCACAAACACAAACTGCCCCAGAGGGCGAGGCAGGGGCGAGGGCTGGCCTCGTGGAGCTGGTCCCAGGGGCCCTGGGTAGCACGTCCACTTGAAAAGACCAGAGGAAGCACCGGGGGTCACTCCAGCCTCAGCGTCGACAGGACGGAGTTTTTTCGTTTTCAGCCACATGAGCTCTGGGAATGTGGCAGACTGAGACCCGGCCTGTCCCTGAGACCTCCGAGCATTGGCCACTTAACAAACATTTTGGAGCTGACCTTGCTTCTCTGTGAAATGGTGATAGTCACAGCAGCTAAGTCCTTGCCTGTGGCCAGCAGCTGCCTTGGGGTCCATAGAGGCAAAGCCTCTCGGACTCCCCACCACCCCGCTGAGTCAAAACTCTGCTTCCACGGGCTCCCGGGGGCTTCGCGAGTCTGTTACAGCCTGAGACGCGCAGATGCGACTCCCCCAGGGCTTTGTGAGGACGGTGTGGAATCCATCAACTCAGCTCCTCTTCACTGAGCACCGACTTTGTGCCGGGCTCCGCTGCAGGTGCTGGAAAGCAGCGCTGAACCTGGTGGCTGAAGCCTGGCTGCTTAGAACTTACTCCCAGGGAGGACGGGAGTCACGTGGAATGTGGGCGAGGTCAGGCTGTGGTGAGGGCTGGGTGCACAGAATGACAACAGGGTGACGTCGGAGCCATGGCCCAGTGGAGACAAGGCCAGGCCTGAAGTCTGAGGGGGGGACGTGCTGGATGGAGGTCACAGCAGCGAGGGAGGGGGGCGCTTCACAATGTCACCAACGACACTGGCTTCTTCCCAGGAGCAGAGGCCTAGGGGAGGGGCCGAAAGGCACAGCCAGCACGCAGTGAGCGTCAGCCGAGGGGGCCACCGTGTCGCCACCGTTGCTACTCCTTGAAGCTCCTGGGGACAGGTTAGACCACCCGGAGGCCTCGGCTTGGATGCCCTTCTCCAGCTCCTGACGGCAGCCCAGGAGCCCATGGGTGGGGCTGAGGTGGGGAGCTGGCCGGTCCAGCTCACAGTCATATCTCCAAGCTAGCATCATAGTTGGCACCTAGTAGGTGCTCGATAAATACCCGTCAGTTAAAGGCATGACTATACACAAAGTCTCGGGGTATGAGTGGGCAGGCGCGCTCAGGCAGGGTGGGGATGTGGCCGGGAGGAGTGGCAGGCGCATTGTTAGAAGCACATACCTGAGCTCGGTCCATTCAAGGTGTCCTCTGGAGCCTGACGCCCAGGAGCCAACAGGCGGGGGCCCTCACCATCCCTGGTCACAGAGCTGGGCGAGGTGACCCGGGGCTACCAGGATTCTGGGCCAAGAAGTCCGGGTCCTTTGTGTTAATCCTGGCACGGATCCCGCCCTCCTCTGCCAGTCCCAGGGCCCTGCGTGCTCAGGCCAGGTGGCTCCCTCAGTGCTGGCGCCCAGAGACAGAGCCCCCGCCCTGCTGGCAGGAGGACAGCTCCCCCAGGAGCCACGGGGACGCTCAGGGGAAGTGAGGTGCTCAGGGCAGCCAGCACCCAGGGCCAGACCAGGCTTCCCAACCAGGGGAACTTGTGCCCCCGGGGACACTGGGCAATGTCTGGGGACATTTTGGGTTGTCCCCACTGGGTGGGAGGTGCTACTGGTTCTATTGGATGAAGACCAGGGTTCATTCCAAACGTCCTCCAATGCGCAGGACATTCCTCGGCATCAGAGAACTGTCTGTTCCAACAGTCAATGGTCATTGTCCCTAAGAAGCTTTTCTAGATACTTTTTAAATGTCCCCCACCCCATGAAATTTGGGTGCCAGAACATGCCCTTCTGACGTGTCCGCTGTGTGCTGTGGGAACCTGTGTCTTACACGTAGTTTTAAGCGTCCACCCAGGAATGGGAGGACCAATAAAATGTTCTGTATACATGTCACGGGACACCGTCGGCCTTAGAAAAAGAGAAAGAAATTCACAGACCCTCGTTCTGCTCTGTGTCTGTCCAGTGAGCCAGCACAGAAGGACAAACGCTGTGATCTCCCCTCCTATGACTTCTCTAGAGGAGCCACAGTCATAGGGACAGAAGGTAGGGTGGCGGTCACCAGGGCCTGAGGCCTGGGGGAGTGGGACCTAGTGTTGAATGAGGACAGAATGTTGGATTTGCAGGATGAGCCATTTCTCGGAGGGACGGGCGATGTCTGCAGAATACAGTGACCCCACTCAACAACACCGGACTGATGCTTAAAAATGGTGAAGAAGATAAATTGTCTGTTATTTTACCACAATTTAAAATAAAGAGTCGGATTTTCCAGCCCCCAGCACCACTTCTTGCTTCCGTGGGGGCAGCTCCGACCCTGCTGGGCACCCACGGCCAGAGAGGCTTGCAGGGGCGTCTGTGGGTGCACAGTCCCAGCGGCGCAGAAGGGACAGGAGCTGCAGGCAGCCCTGGGCTCCTCCCTGGGGCGAGGGAGAGTTCTCAGGAGGATCGGGCGCACCCGGCATGTCAGGGAGAGGTGCTGCTGGTGGACGGCCTGTCTCCCTCAGGGAGAACCTGCAACAGGTGCTCCAAACTCATCGGGGCAAGTTTTCAGAAAACCCATAAACAGCCTCCTCAAGTGCTCAGCTGACACTCAGTGGAGATGCCAGCGACTTCCATGACCCGCTTCACGTGCAAACAAGGTTCGCCCGCAGGATAAACTGTGGCTTTGCCTTTGTTCCTTGGAACAATCTAGAGAAAGGAATCTTCACGTGAGAACTAAACAGCACATGGATGGCTAGCTGTCCCCAACACTTTTGAGATGCCAGATGCACACAGAGGCACAGTGTGGGACAGTTCCAAACAATGCCCCCGAGTGCACACAGCTACTCAGGGGTCTTGAGAACACAACAGAACTGGAGCCTCAGTTTGACAGAAGTCACAAACAGACGCACACAAAGCACTTGTTTGCGTTTTGCAAAACACACATTGTGACACAAGGCTTTGCTCGAACGTGCCAGCGGGAGGAGGCGAGGGGGCGATGGAGATTAGGGGGATGAAATACACTTATGGATGAGAGCAGGTGGCATCGCTAAGGACCACCCCGTGAGCCACGCTGAGGAGCCCCGTGCTCCTGGGGTGAACACAAATAAGCACAAAGAGGACAGGACTGTCCATAATGCCACTGCGTCCTTTTAAAATGCACACACAGAAAACAGAACTGGCGTATTTTATGCAGGATCACAAGCGGCTTAGAGAAACCCCATCTGAGCGGCGGACAGTGGTGGGAGGGAGGGTGCAGAGAAACAGAATCAGCACAAACACAGACCAACCGAGGAGGGGCTTGTCTGGTCAGTATTAGAATGGGTCACTGAGCAGGGCACTAACTCTGCCTTCGTCGTCCAAGGTCCAGAAAGCCCCAGCTAGCCGCAAAGTGTCAGCCCGACACCCCTGCCTTAGCTCAGACCTCAGTGACAACCAACTGACACCCACCGAGGTGGCTGAGCCCAGCCGGGGCCACTTTCTTGTTCTGAAGCCACGGGGTGTGGAGACCCTGAGGCTGAGAGCCGGGGGCTGGACGCCGGCTCAGACTCCGAGGGCTCCGGCTCTGGGGCTCCTCTGTTCCTTTCTGGATCGTGTTCTCCTTCTCCTCCTTCTTCAGGCCCCTTTCGCTGCCTCTACACAGGGAGTAGTGACTTCCCTTCTGCGCAGCCTCCATCTACCGGCACCTGGAAGGGTCAGTTGGAGCTTCTCAGGTGGCTTGGGGACATGTCTGCATTTTCTTTTAATGAGAAAAAAGAATGAAGCTCAGAAAACAGTGTAAACTAGAATCTCATTTTTAGTGAGGCTCGGTGGTGCCTTCCTGTGACCCCAGTAACTCAGGAGGCTGAGGCAGGAGGACTGCAAGTCCAAGACTCTCTCAAAAATAAAAAACAGGAAAGGACTGGGAATGTGGCTCAGGGGTGGAGTGTCCCTGGGTTCAGTTCCCAGAACTGCAAGAAAAAAAAAGAAAAGAAAAAAAGAATCCCTTTTTTCAAAACCAAGAATGACTTAAAAATCCCAATCCATTTTGTGTTTATTGTCCTACAACACAGATAGAGATGTCAGTGTAAACAAAAATATTTTTGAAAGGGTTGTTAACATGGGTCTCTAGCACCAGGTCACAGGGATGAGGTGGATAAAAGAGGGGAACAATAGGAACAGGGGGACCAAACATACCATCATTTACATCCTTTATATAAAATTATGAATTAAAAATTAAGCAAAAGGAGGAAAAGAGGGAGAGAATGAATGGCAGAGAGATGAGAAAGGGCCACAGGATCAAGATTCAAATCTGGATGCTACAGTCGGATTCCCAGGGAAGGAATTTGATTGGTCCACTTTGGACCAATCAGGTGGGATCAGGAAGTAGGTACCAGGACTCAGGGTGCCTGGTCCTGCTCTATCTGTGCCGCTGGGGCACGGGGAGGAGGGGAAAGTCTAGAAACCCGGAGTCTGGGATCACGAGTCACACAAAACAATAGTTTTCTGCAAACTTTTTAATCCAGAATTTCTCAGAACTTCAAGAGGACGATTAGCATGAGAAGGGGGTCATGAACCCAGTAAGATCTGGGCAAGGGGGGGGCCTTAGGAATGACTCAGGTGACTGAGATGGGACAGGATATTCTAGATTCTGTGACAAGGCAGAGCATGGGACCGTCAGGGGTTTGTAAGCAATCCTGGGTGGCTGGGATGAGAGAGGAGACTGGAAACCTGGGCAGATCACCAAGGACCTTGGGCATCCCTGGTGACTGAGGGGGTCCGTGAGTTGATGGGCAGATTGCATATGACCTCATAACCCCCACAGGGTTTGGAGGCTATTGGAGGGTTGAGCACAGGTGGGACAGGGTCTGGCCAGTTCTGACAGGACTCTGACAGGCAGACCAAGAAGAGAGTGTCAGGGGCAAGACGGAACCCAGGAGACCCGTGGGGAGGTGACTCCAGTAGCCGGGCCCCGGTGGCAATAGGGCAGAAGGCCAGATGCGTCTTGAGACTGCAGCCCACATGATCTTGGAGCGTCACTGTCGGTTTGAGAGGGAAAAGAAGGTCCAGAAGCAGGTGGCAGGGACGTCTGACTCCGGAACCCAGCCCCGTCATGAAAGAGCTCCAAGTGTGCCCTCCTCTCTGGGGAGTTTCCACGAGGAGAATTTCAGCTTGTCACCCCTGAAATACAGTGAAGTCATTAGCCCCCCGTCTTAATCACATCTCTCCCAGCCTATTAAGCAATTTGGAGCTGTTGCTAGAGAAGATTTTGTTATTTCCCCAAATCTCTGGCTGCTTCATTTAGACCTGGTGTTTAGGCGGAATGCAATTAACACATTCCAAACCTGGTTTCCCCTGAAATCCAATCAATTGTAACTCGTTTTCAAACCACGCTGCTTTCTTTAATTGTGAGCCATGGCCTCTGCAGAATAGCGATTTAAGTCAATTATTGCATTGCTTGTATGAAAATTGTGCTATTTGTGTTGGCAGCTCCCCACATTACTGATGAGCTTCCTCGAGCTAATGGAATAATGAAAACACAAAACAGATTTACTGTTCTTAATAAGAGAAAGAGATAATGAAGGCAAATTAAAATGGAAACTCAGATCTGCGTGGAGATCAGGTAATGCGGTTTCTCTGTTTAAATGAACACTCCAAGTCTCAAATGCGGAGGGAGGGGAGGGGGACGGAGACTCGAAACTCTATTAGACATGAGTGTGCCACTCCACTTGTGTGCACTTCTTGGAGTTTGGTGTGGGACGCCATCGGGAGCCACCCCACGGACACCTCAGTGGGCGCCTCCATCCCTTCCCCCATTCGTCAGAGTCAGCTGGTCCCCTGCCAGGTGGTAGGTGCAGCAATGGACACGCATTAGGTCGTTAAACACTCCCAAATTCTGTGCACCGGGTAGTGTGATGGTGTCCTTTCACGGGAGGGGAACCCGTTAAGTAATCTTTGCAAGGTTCAATGCCACGTGTGAGGCTGGCCGGGGTCCCCAGCCCACTGCTGTTTGGGGCCAGGTCCTTCCCTGCAGCACGGGACTCCGCTGAGCGTTGCAGGATGTTTAGCAGCGTCCTTGGTCTCCACCCACTGAACGCCAGTCGCCACCTCCAGTGGTGTCAACTGAAATTGTCACCGGACATTGTCAAATGTCCTCTGAGGGAAGCTGTCACCCCTTGGTGACAGCTGCTGGTCTGGACTCTGTGAGCTCATCTGGGCAAGCGCACAGGATGGGGTGGGGGTCAGCAAACCTGGGTCCTCTTTCTGCCCTTGCCTCATTGGGGGACCCCAGACAAATCATGGCTCCTCCGTGGGCCGGGGTCCTGATCCACTCAACGGGTGGAAAACTCCGGGACCTGGGGTCCGACTTGGCTGGAGGACTTTGACCCAGGGCTGGAAGGGCTTGGGACAGCGGGTGGTCAGAGAGGGAGAACCGGACAAATACAGGAGGCTGCAGGGCGGGCAGGCCAGCAGAGGCCAGGCCAGGGGCCTCTAAGTCAAGGGAGACCCTGGAGGCCGGCGGGACGCACCTGTGCCTCCTCATTCCACCTGCCCTGGACTCGGGACCTGCACCTCCTCTTCCCGTGCTTCCCCATTTCCTTTCCCGTCTGTTAGGGCAGGAGCTGCTGAGGTCAGTCCTTGGTCTAATGGGTGATTCGCATCAATATCAAAGTGATGGAAACCCCAGGGAGCACTGTGCTAGTCCCCCTCGGACATCCTGCCCCCCACCCTCCCCGCACCTGGGCACCCGTTGCCAGGTGTCACGGAGGAGCAGGAGAGAAGAGAGAAGAGAACCCGTGAGAAGCTTCTGCCTGTTCCCGACTCAGGCTCCTCTGGGCGGGCCCTCTTCTAAGTGACTTACGTCCATTTAACTCTTACCCTATTTTTAAATTTCCATTTCCTAGAGAGGGAGGCAGAGAGAGATTAAGCCAGTTACCGAGTCTGCGCCGCTGTGGGTGGTAGAGCTGGAGTGTGAGCCTGCACCGTCTGGTTCCAGAGTCCTTGACAACTGTCCCTGACAACTGTCCACAGGTGGAACATCGCGGGGATTTAGGCCCTTGCCAGAGAAACCCTAATCAGGGCTTCCTGTCCCGCAGGGACCCCTCAGGACCACGCATCTCATCCAGCAAGGACTCCGCACTGATGAGACTCCGTCCCTACTGCAGGACTTAGGCTGCCCCCAGACTAAGGATATGTGCATGGGCCTTGGATGGCAGCCCTGAGAATGTCTGCGAATGACTGAGATTACCTTTCCCAGCAGCTCACTGTGTTGACATGTGGCTTGGAGAGCAAGGAAAGCACTCAAGAAAAACAAAACAGAGTTCAAAACACCCAAGTTTCTGCATTAAGAACAATTCAAGAACAATACTTGGTCAATAAGAAAAGTGCCCACATGGAGTGGCAGATAGTAGATGCTCAGTAAATACCAGTTCCTTCCCTTGTTCCTCACACCACTGCCCCCAGCTCAGAGCTGACCCTTGGTAGCTCATCCTTTCATCCTTCTTTTCTGAAGCCAATGCCTAGCTGTGTGACCTCTGGCAGGTTGCTTGACCTCTCTGAGGCACTGCTTCTTGGGAGGTTGTGCAGAATCGATGAATTCCCAGGTCTAAAAAGTCAGGGACCTCTGCTCGGCTCCTCTTTCCTGCCTCCTCTCTATGCTCCTCATGCACCTCTGCACACAGCTCCAGGCATTTGTCTAGATCCTGATTTCCTGCAGATGAGGGAGACAGGAGAGTGGGGATCCCTCCTTTTCCAGGGGGAGCCAAGTGGTGCACAAGAGGGCTTCCGGGGAGAGAGCAGGGCACTGGGCTGGCCTCTGCAGAGCCTCCCAGCACAGGTAGGTCTCCGCCCAGCTCTGGGCGACAAGCTAAATATTTGCGGAGCCTAAGGTTTCCCCCACGCTAAGCCGCAGCCTTACCTCTCCCTGCACATGGCCCTCCTCGGTGCACCTCCGGTCGGCCGTTTCCCAGGATCCTCTGGGCTCAGGCACCGTCTCTTAGGAGGGCGATGAAACCATGTCTGCTGCTAATCACTTCCAGTAACAATAACAATTCCTGACTGTGGGGCAGGGTTTCCCAGAGCACGTCTGCACACGCTGGCCCACCGCCTCCTCCGTCAGCCCTGTGACTTGGATCTTGGTCCCATGGAGACAGCCCTTCTAAGCCACCTGCTCCAGGGCTGGCAGCCATTGAGTGGCAGAGCCCCAGCAGCTTCCCTCCCGCCCTCCCACGGCTGCCCAGGCCGGCCACCCGGCTGCAGCTCCAGGACAAGAGCGTCCTAGAGCCCCAAGTCCCAGTTGTCTAATTTTAAAAGTGGTCAACAAAGCCAAGCGCGGTTTTCCTCCTCCTACCTCGAAGACAGACGTACCCAGAAGGCCAAGTTCAAGTCTAGAGGTCTTGGAGTTTCTCACTGGCGTGTGCTGGAAGCCACAATAGGGGGGCTTTTTAGTTTCATGAGACAATCTATTTTCTTTATTCACAGTTGGTTTGAGTGTCTGTCACTTGCACCTGGAAGAATCCAGATAATACTGGGCTGGCTGTGGCTGTGGACAGCAGACGATGGGGACAGGAGGGAAGGTAGGTCAGCAGGCCCTGGGTACCTTAGGACCCGGCTCTGGTGACAAAGGAATAGCAAGATGAGGTGGCACCAAAGGAGGAAGCCAGCAGATCCCGACCCACAAGCACACCTGGCGCACCTTGTTAAGGTCAGAGTGAGAATCCTGTGGACGCCTTGCAATCGCCAGCCAGAACCTACCTCACAGCCGGGTGAAGCCTGAACTCTTTATTTTATAAGTGAGGTAATGAAGGCTGAAAGAGAGCAGATCTGCTCGCCCAGGGATCAGCCAGAGTCACTCATTAGCCAGGCGCAGCAGCCCCCACCTGTAATCCCAGGTACTCGGGAGGGTGAGGCAGGAGGATCACAAGTTCAAGGCCAGCCTGGCAACTTATGAGATTCTGTCTCAAAAAGAAGAAAAGAAAAGAAAAAATGCAGTGGGGATGTAGCTCAGTGGTTAAGTGGCCTCCAGCACCACAAAAAAAAAAAAAAAAAAGAAAACTAAATCATTCATCAAATTAACCAATATTTATCAATCCCACGTCACCACCAAGATCTGTGGTAAGTCCCAGAGAAACCGTAAGCAGAGTGGGCAAAACCCGGCTTGCCTACCTTTGAAAACAAGGTGTTGGTGAGACGCGATTCTGCCCCCCATTTATGGGTCATCCGGCTGCTTTTGTGCTGTGACCGTGGTGCTGAGTAGTTTCAGTGGAGACCAAATGACCTGCAAATCATCACTCTGACCCCTTGCTGAAAAAGTTTGCCAACTTTCACAACAGGGATAAATAAGCCACGCGGCTCCTGGTCTAGAGACGAAGATGGAACCCACGTCTCGGCCCACAGCTGCCGTCGTGCAGGAGACGTCGCTCGGGACCCTTGGGGGCCGTTCGAGCCTCCACCTTGTGGGAGTGAGGAGGTTGTATTTCACCAAGTCGAGGTCCCCTGATTTCCAGAGCAGATTCTAAGTTTGGGGGTGCGTGGAGTGCCCAGGGGAAGGTGGGTGGCTGTGGGAATCGCCAGGCTCTCTGCCGTGCTTTGCTTCTGGGTCACTGTCCCCACGGTGGCTGTGATGGGGGTCACCGCAGGTCCTGGTCTCGGGGTGCCTGCAGCCCGGGACTCTGCTGGATCCTCGCCAGCTGCTCCCCCCAGGTGGTGGGGAAGGTTTTCTACAGCTTTGGCGACTCCCGTTGGATCACATACTGTGCCTAAAGCCATTGTCCCCTGGCCCTTGCTCCCTCTTCGTGACTGGACACGGGTCGTTTGCTCCGGGCACAGCTCAGGTCCCTGTCCACTTCCCATCCCACCACTGTGGCCACCGGACTCCAAGCCATCAGCGTCCCCTCTCCTGATCGTGACAGTGCTCTCCTAACTGCTCACTCTCATCCCAGTGCTCCCAAAGCCTGTGACACCAGGCGGCTAGAATGTGCCCTTCCAAACAGGTAGTCAGAGGGTCCCTCCCCTGCCCAGTGACCCCTCCCATGGCTCCCAACCACAGGGAGGGTCAAGGCCAAAGTCTCCACCACAACATCGGGCCCGGCAGAACTTAGAGCCCTCTGCTCACACATCCTACTGAGCCGTCCCTGCTCCATCCACCCGGCCCATGTCACCTGTCCGATAAGGAAGGAGTCCTTTCCCAGCCCGGGTGTGGGCTGTGGCTGTGACTCTTATTACTGTAGAAAAGTCAAGGGATTGCGTTTTTCCCTCTGGAGCACACAGACTGCCTTTGACCTGGTTGCGGGTGTCATGGTAGGGTTGGTCCTGACCCTGGGTTCTGATGTCTACAAGGTGAAATGTCATGTCTGGAAGCCTCCACTGCCCCCTCCTTCATCCCCAGAGACTCAGGAAGCCCTGGGTCAGGCGGGTAGGTGCTGTGTGTCATCTCTGTCCTCAGAAAGGGCCAGGGCAGCAATCTTGACTAAGAGTCTTTATTGGAAAATAAACACCATTAATGTACGCGAGATCCCATCCAAGGGTCCAGTCAAAACACCTCCGTGTGGGACTCTTGCCATCCTAATGGGCTCCAGATGTCCTGGTGACCGGAGGAGGGGAGGTAGTTGGAGGTGGGGGAATGGCCCATGACGGGTTTGGAACCCAAGGAGCATCTCCGCCACCCCAGTTTCTCTGTGGGGGGAGGGTTTAGGGCCCCCTCGTCCCACGGGGCCCAGCTCCACCTGACCCATCATCTCTGCCCCTGGTGGCCTCTGCAGGTCCTTTGCATTGAATTAATCTGACCAAAGGAAAAGCCGGCCTGGGGCGTATGACGCGGCGTGGAACTGAGCTGGGGGAGACTGCGGGGTCAGGGTGCGCTGGGAGCCGAGTCGTAGGCAAAGCAGGCAGCACTGGAGAGAGGGTCTGGAGGAGCTGCCCCATCGAGGAGTCCAGAGGCCAGAAAGGGGAAGCCAATGGGATTGGAAAAGCGCCACCAGAACGGCTGTAGTGGTCGCTTTTTGACGGTCCCTATTCACAGTGACACTCCCATTGAACACCTGAGCAGGCCCCCAGCTCCGTCTCACCCGGCCAGGAAAAGTCCTGCCTGCGGCCTGGGCACGGCAGCTTCCCTGCCCGGGCCCTGTCCTTGGCCTGGCCTGGCCTGGCTCCCGGCTGTCCAGCCGCGGTTCCAGGTGCTGCTGTCAGAACTCCGCCTCCTCCTGCCCCGCCGCCCTCCTCTCCTCCTCTGGATGCTCCCTCTTCCTGCCCGGATTCGGCATTTCCTCGTCTGATCTCCCCGTCTCCCTCTCTCCCGCTCGCCTCCAGGAGCCATGGGGGACTTCCTCACTCACTCGTGTCTCCAAGCCTTCGTGCTGGCCTGGCACTTGGCAGGAGGCGCAGACAGCCCCATGGTCCTACCCGGTGGCCAAGTCGCTGCAGGAGGAACGCGCGGCTGGGGGAGATACCTACAGGCAGCCGGGTTTACTGAAAGTGAGTCCATCAGTTCAGCCTCGTGCCCCGGGAGAGCTGAGGCTTCATCGCGCCTCAGCTGACCCGGTCCCTCCCCAGCCCCGCGTCCCTGGAGCCAGAAGCCAGGGCCAGGCCACTCTGTGGCTGCACCTGTGCCGCTGCCAGGGCCTGAGAGCTGTGCCCGGCGTGAGCCTCTCTGTTTTCCTTCCTCACCCTCCTGAGGCTGTGGGCGCAGAGCACAGGCCCCGGAGAGGGTCCAGCAGCCACACAGCCAGTCACCGTAACCTGGCTGATAGTCACAGAGTCCTAACGGAGCCTCGCAGCAGCCCCCGACAAGGGGGAACGCAGGTCATCCCCCTTAGCAGGGGGACAACCAAGGCACAGAGAGGCCAAGTCCTCACTCAAGTCATCTGAGCTGGAGCCCATTTCCTGGCTGAGGATTGGGCCCAGGTGTCCCAGGGGCCAGAGCCATTGTCCCCGTATCATTCGAGTCATCTTTAGTGTGGCTCTCGAATCCCCGGGGACTACGGCAATCACCTCCAGGCGTGGCTCGGAAGGGAGAGGAAGCCGGAGAGACAGGTAACCTCTGGGGACAGAGGGGACCTGAGGACCACAGACAGACTGTGAATGAGGTTGGTTCCAGCCCAGGGTCGGCATCCAGCTTCACTTCCGTCCATCCCAGGTCCATCCAGCCCGGAGAGTGGACGCAACAGCTGTCTGTGGAGCTTTGGGAGCCCTGCACCTTCTCCAGGCCTCACTCCCAAGAGGAGCCAGCTTAGAAACGCCCCGTGACCCCTGTGACTTTCCCACGAGGTGCACAATCCAGGTTTGGCTCCATCCTCCAGAGGGAGGCCGAGATCCCAGGAGTCTGGCCCTGGAAGAGGATGGGAACCCGTCCCCACCCTCCCCTTCGCTCCCTCTGTTCCACCCTCATTGCTGTTCCAGTCCTTCCCCTGCGCCTGGGCTGCTGGTCCCCCCCAGGACACCACCGACACCCTCCCTGCCTCGGCCCCAGTGTCCCCTTCTCAGGTAGGCCGTGCTTCGTGTCAGACCAACCAGGTGTGACACTTATTTTTGTTTTCCTGTCACCTGCCTCTGTCTTCTGGAATGTCTGCTCCTGGGGACACTTGCCCCTGTGGTGTGTCTGCTGCTGGCACGTGGGAGCCGCCTGACCCTCTGGACATGTCAGTGTGCAAGAGTGTCCCTGGGCCATGTGAGCAGCCTAAGGACCCGTGGAGCCGGGACTTCCCACAGCCACACACACTGCCGACTGGTCTGTGTCCACTCCAAATGGGGTGGCAGGAAGGAGCAGGACGGGCCCAGAACCTGAGGGCCAGGGTCCTGCAGGCTGCCTGCCCGGAGCTTTGGCTCCTTGCACCCTCCAGCTCCTGGGCCCAGGCACCCTGGGGGCCTCTCCAACGGTCTTCACAGGCCTGCTCTGCGCCTCCCTCTCCCTGTCCTGACGAGGACATCGCCATGCGCCCGTCCTAGCTCCAGGACGCCCCCATCTCAGGACCCCGAGTGATCCTGTCTGCGCAATCCCATTTCCAAGTAAGGCCACTTTCTG